CGGGCTTCGGGTTCCGGAATCCGGGCCGGCATTGAAAGCGATCAAAAGGGAGCTGCCCCCCCCCCCACCCCCCACGAGGAAAATCCTCATTGTGTTCTTCTTCATCAAAGAGCGCGACGATCGCACAGGCTTAACATTTGCCGTTGTTGACGCTGACAGTTTCCCGAGCGGACGAAACAAGGCGACCGGGCCAGGACTGTCGCTTGGGTCGCCTTTGATGTCCCTTGAAGTGCTTCTTGTCTGGACCGAAAGTATTGACACAAAAGGCAAGCAAGGTCCATGAAGTCCCGTTTGAATTTCCTTTGGGGTGGACCAACGTCAGAGCCCCGACCTAAACACCTCTCCCTGTTTCTCTCTGTTGCCGGCAGAGTGGGGGAGGGGTTTGTTCCAGCCGGTCGGTCCCCCGGCTCCATCTTTCCGCCCGTTTTTGATTTCATGTCCCAAACGAGCCCCGTTTGCGTCGCCCTTCAAAAAGCAATCACAGCTTTGCGCTCGCTGGCTGGCTGGCCGGCTCTCTTCATCTCCTTTCCTCATTTGTCTCCGCGGAAGCTTCCAAAGCAAAGAGTGTCGCTCGTGCAGCCGAACGCTCCGCGTGACATCGCCGAAGTCATCATCTTGACTTTTTGTTTTCTCTTTCCTCCTCACAGGAAGCCATCCGAGACGTTCACGTGAAGGGCATTATGTATCGAGCGGTGGAGGCCGATATCGGTAATGGGCCTTTGCGTGTCAAAGTGAGAGCCAACGTTGTCAACGAATCCAAACATTTCAATCCCTCGCGCTGCGCTTGTGCAGGGAAATACATTTGCTACGGCGAGCAGAGCCACGCCGTGCTGAAGAAGCTGCACGAGCACGGGAAGAAGATGTTCCTCATCACAAACAGCCCCTTCGACTTTGTGTAAGTGCTCGTGCGTCGTCGCGTTAAGATAACCTGCATTTGTGTCCCACCCTGGGGAAATTTGCAGGCTACAGCAGCAAAATTGGGGGGGAAACAAAAGTGTTTCATTGCCTCGCTAACTGCCCCTCGGCCAATAGTCATCATAACAATGCATCCGATTGATCGATTCCCCCGATGGTGTTGAAATGAGCTGAACCAAGGGGCCATCATTTTTGGCCCCTCGGAGGATTGCTGTACAGTATGTTGTACAGAGAGCATATTTGACAATAACTTGACCCTGAACATTTGGATCATGCCGGTGGAGTGTGAATATTTACCGGAGGCCCCGTGTTATTCATCCGGCGGCCATTTGATCCCATTTCCAAAATGTCTGATGAAATTCCCCACTGAAAACGTCGGATTCTTTGACCGTGAGCCGTTGCTCTCCGCAAATAGTAACAGCGTGCCCCGCCACTCCCCCTCCCTCCCCTCCTCAGGGATCGAGGCATGAGCTACATCGTCGGCAGGGACTGGAGGGACCTCTTTGATGTCGTTATAGTTCAGGCCGACAAACCCGGTTTCTTCAACGACAGGAGAAAGTGAGTGCGTCTGCGTCCCTGTTGTTGTTGTTGTTTTCTTTTTTTAACGCTGCGCCCCGAATGCGGATCGCCTCATTGTCAAAGTGAGCAATATTTGCGCTCGGCAGGCCCTTCAGGCGTGTGACCGACAAGGGCGCCCTACTGTGGGACAGAATCCACAAGTTGGAAAAAGGGCAGATCTACAAACAGGTGCGTCCGATGAGCCCCGGATGAAAGCCTTTGACAAATCGCTCGCGTTTCCATCACCCGAAGGGGAACCTCTACGAGTTCCTGAGACTGACTGGCTGGCGAGGATCCAAAGTGCTCTACTTTGGCGACCACATCTACAGCGACTTGGCGGTAAGAAACACCTCAGCGCCAAAGTGGACTCCGAGGCGACGTCCGGGGTCAGAGGGGAGAATCCGGCCGGGAGGGGGGTTGCCTTCTAGACCCGGGGCAAGGCGACGTGGTTGTTTTCCGTCCTCTCGGTCGCATTTGGAGCATTGAGAATCGCCCGGCCCCTTTCCCACAAGAGGGCGATGTCATGGCGGGGGGAGCCAGCCCAAAGGGTGTCGTGACAATCCTCATGCCGCTTAAAGCCACCAGGGGGCATGTTTGCACCACAGCCAACGTGCGGTCAATGGAGAGACTTTGTTGTCGGGCCGCTTCTCTCTGCGCTTCCACAAGCGTCCGCGGTGTTTGGAGAGGGGCAATAAGAGCCACGATCCGTTTGCGCCGCCTTGGGTTCAACGTCAGCCGTTTCGAGGAAGGTTCCCCCCGCCGTATACTCCGATCCACACAAACCTGCTTCCAGAAAGTCCCTGGCACGTGCCAAAGCGGGGCTGCGCGGTCCTGCCGTCAGCCGTGGACTCACCGACGGCACACGGCGCCCGCGTTCTGTATTTTCGATTCCTCGCGTTTTGTCGTCGTTTGGGAAAAGCGCGTCTTAATACGCTACAATGTGTCGACAGTGTGCGGGTTTCTCCATCGCACAGCGGGACTCAAATGGGTCGGGATAGAAAGTATGCCCCGCAATAAACGCCGATCCACTGCGCCCTAAGTGTCCGCACGTGACGTGACGTGACGTGATGCGCACTCCAACGAGAGCCTCCCGGGCACGTCGGCCGTCGCGCGCCATCTCTGCGGCCGTGAGCGCCGGCGCATGCTGGCAGACGGCCCGGCGGGTGCCTCCGAGCCAACGTGGCCGTCGTGAGTTTTGCAGCCGCGACAGCGTTCTTCTAAATGTGTGATGGGCTCTTAGTGATGTTCATGAAAGGCGCCGTTAACATCTCTGGCACGATGCCCCGCCGCCGGTGGCTGGCGGCCAGCTGTCAAACACGTCACCTCGCTGATTTAGGGGGCGATTGTGTGTGTGTGTGTGTGTGTGTGTGTGTGTGTGTGTGTGTGTGTGTATATACGCACCGACCGCAGCGTATCGGCGAATGGATTGCACGGAAGCGCAGATCATTAGCGCAAGTTTCTGCCCCTGGCCAAGTTTCTGAATGGAAGGGACGCGCTCATGCGAGATGCGCTCCTCCCAAATGCAATTGCCAAGCAACAGGCTGCGCTTTGGCCACTTCATCCACCTCCTAATGGTGCCGTTCTCGTGTTGGCGTGATGGCAACGCTGATATGATGCCCAAAAAGTGTCATCAACATCCCCAAAAGATTGAGCATGAAATATTCAAATGGTCCCAAGTCGATCACTGGCAAAGAATGGCGCTCTGGAGCGCCAGGACAAGCGTGTTCAAACGCGACGCGTCCGTGCGGTGGTTTCTGCTCTGAGGAAGCTCGGCAGCGTCTTCCTTTTCACAAACTCTCGTATCGGCTTCCGATTTCCGTTCGGTTCACGTGAGGGGCCACGATGGCTGTTGCTAAGCAAAGCGGCTGAAGAAAAAGTCCCGCGGCCGATGTAGCGCACCTGCCGAACGTGTCGGGGTTTCGCTCGGGCGGACGAGATCGACGCGGCCGGGCTGAAAGGCGATCCATGGTGCGCTCTTTCCCCGGCCAGGATTTGACCCTGAAGCACGGCTGGAGGACGGGCGCCATCGTCCCCGAGCTGAGGGAGGAAATCAAGATCATGAACACGGAGGAGTACGTGCACACCGTCAGCTGGATGCAGGCTCTGACCGGCCTGATTGAGCAGATGCAGGTCAGCCCTTCGCCGCTTCGCGCCGGACGCGCACGAGGCTCACGACCCGACGCCGCGCCGCTCTCGCGCAGGTCCGCCGAGACGCCGCCTCTCAGGCCGTGGTGGGGGAGTGGATACGAGAGCGCCAAGCCATGAGGTAAGCCGGCCTTTGACTTTTTTTTTCCTTCATTCTTCATTGCAAACTCGGCAAGCGTCCGCGTTGTTTGGACCTGCGGCCATCTGATCCGAAATGACTGGCGGCTGCCGGCTCCTTGCCGGACGTTGCGCTTTCCCAGCTAAATGATCAAATTAGAGTCCGCCAAGACCATTTGCGTAAAAACAACCCAAAAAAACCCAACCACACGTTGTTGATGGCAGTCGACGTCAACGGCGCCCCGCGTCAGGGTTCCCGTTGATGGCAAATGTCGTTTCGAACGTGAAGCCGAGCGCGCCGACGTAGCGAAAGG